GATATCAAACTAATTGGCATGGATCCATCATAGATCCATTATCATTAAAATGAATAGCAATTGAGAACAGATGGCACAGTAGTTTAGGGCACTAACTTTCTGCCGCCTATTTGTCTAGACTGCTCCATGATGAGAATGAAATAACATCATTTGGCTTTGTTTGTGCTAAAACTTTCAACAACTTTTTAAGATGACCTTCAAAAATACATATTTGAACATTCATACCATTCAAAATAAGGATTACGTATTTTCTGTTTCTTTGTGGCACAGAAATTACCAGATTTTTTGTACTCCTAAAGAGACTACCTTAATTTACTTAGAACATATATCAAAGAAAGTTTATGACAGCTGAAAAATAATTGTATCTGGAATACTCTGTTATTTTATTATACCTACTAGGTTCAAAGTTCTTTTTTCTCTCTCCAGAATTCAACACTGTCATTCCATTTAAGTGATGAGATAATGCTCAATTTGCATTCCTTTCCAACTTTAGCATATAGAAGTGCTGCCATTTCTGTGTATGAATGTTATAGACACAGTTACCAGACACATCATTGATTTCCCATTCATATTCCTCCCCACACAAAACAAAAAGGGAGAAGTGTTTTAAAAAGAGAGAGAGAAAAAAAGAAAAGATAAAAAAGAGAGAGATATTCTAAGTAAGTAACCCTATGCTTTAGAAAAGTTTTGCTGATTTAATCTGCTTGAGACAGGATAAGTTTTGAAATGACCTCCAAATCATTTGCATGGAGGAGACATTTCAGATGGCACAGGGCTTTCTTGTTTAACAGAAAATGATATAGCAAGATTCTGAGACTGGAAACTGAAGATGAAGAAATTAATTAATATTATATGAAGTTTCATATGCGAAGTATTTAACAATTGAAACAAACGGATCTAAAACCTTGTGAATTTCTCAGTTTTTGATGTCTTAATTTAAAGAACAATGACTTTCTAAATTCATGCTCTGGTTGAACCAGAATCTTGCTGCAGGAATTATCGGGTAATGCTCTATGCCTTATGTTGAGAAGGCATAACAGTTCTTTCTGTTCTTAAAATTTGTGAGTCATCCAAGAATTTCTCCATCAAACTCACAGAAGATAAGAATGAAGACTGAAAATTTCTGAAGGGAAAAAATAAGCAAATAATTGCTCTAAAAATGCACATACACATTTGAGGATTTTAGGTATATCCTGAAAATAGAAAGAACAACTGTACCATGAACTCTCTCATCTACACAGAAATTTGCTAAAAAGCTAAAATGCCAATAGTATTTCTGGTCCATCCTTATTAAGCATGATTTTCTGTAGTGCCAGCCCCTTTCCTGACCTCTTAACCTACCAACCTAGCTCCTTACCCTCACACTTCTTCTATCATTACCCTTACATTTTTTTTCCTTTTGACATTACCAAGTTCAGTTACCCGAGACAGTTTTTCTGTAGCATTGCAAGGCAATTAGATACTCTCCCTCTCTTGCTCTCATCAAGAAGGAGCAGTTGTGGAGCGAAGGCAATCGGATATCACAGTGGTGCAAATGCGCAATTTATACCCATGCTATGGGCACCAAACTGACTGTCACATGCTATACTTTCTGCAGGACTAATCTTTTGTTACCTTGGCCAGTATTTCAGCTGTTGTCTCATTTTATGATTAAATTCATGAGAAGAAGAGTAGGTGCCTCATAGACTAAGCAGGCAACCATGGAAAGCATTAGCTTTGGATCCAACTTGATTCAACGGAGGAAAAATCCTGCAGAAATATGCTAAGAATGGAATTTCCAAATAGTTTTTAAATGGCTTAGAAACACTGAAGATCATTGTCAAAGTGACTGGGCACAGAATGGCTCATTACAAATATAATGATACAAATTTAATTTGTTGACATGACTAATTACATTGGTGTACCTCACCTCAAGGACTTGAGCAGGCTCAGAGGCAAGTGAGTGAAGGAACAAGCTGCAAACATGCCTGTAATTTGGTTCCAGTGCACAGGCTCTTCCCAGGCTGGTACTATTCTAAGTCTGCTATAAACCCCAGCCTGTTCAGCAGCTGCAGGTTTATTCTTAGTCTCAAGAACAAGAATTCTCATGGGCATGGTGATGGTTTCATGTCCACTAGAAGATAAGTTTTCTCCTCAATACATTTCACTCTGGGGATGGTTCCAGTGAATAGAACCATGAGTTTCATCCTCTAAAAGTTACTTCAGGTATGAAAGTAACTTGCCCGAGTTAGATTGGTCCTGCTCATTCTGTAATCTGTGATTATGTGCAGTACAAGATGCTTCATTATGAAATTCTACTAGAGGTGTTTATGGGAAGCATACTTCCATACTTCTTTCCCGATAGTTAAATTTTTTCCTAATACACAGTTACATTGCACTAGGATATGAATGAAGCACAAGACAAACCATCCATGTTTCTTTGACATGGTTACCCCCAGAAAACACAGAACAACCTGAACACATGCATGTATATTCTAAAAAACTACCTCTAGTCAACCCAGTACAGATATCTGAGAATGAACACATACCCAAGTTTAGCCCGCTACTCCACGGGAAAAAATTTTGATCTTAATAGAATAAATGCACAGGCAAATAATTCAGGCTAGAACATCAAAGTTTTTATTTTAAAAAAAAAAATTGTAGTTTTCCCACTTTACCTTCGATATTTGCTACTATAATCTCTGAATATCTTGAGAGATGCTGAATATCTTCATTGCCAGTCTCCCTACCTGCTTAGCCAAGCTTTTTAGATAAGTTATTCCTGTAGTTCTTTTTCTAATTTTAACCTTCCATATTCTTAGGATTTCCCTAAACATTACAAGCTTCAGCTTATGCCCCATGACATCCCCTCATTAAGATGACCTTACCGCTCAGATGCGTATGTACTACAAACAACTATTGCTCAGCTGAAGTGAATGAAGGGATAATGATTTATGAGATCTATCCGTTCATTATCCTGATTTCTGTTAAGTGACCTTTCCCCGAAAATCAGCACAGAGAAGGGAAAAAAATTAAGTGGCAATAAAAACAAAAGATGAAATAAATTATGAAGATGAAGAATTTTCCGCCTTGCTGAACAGAAGAATTATTCTTGAATGAGAACCCCTAGAGAAGTTAGGACACCTCGGTAGTCTCCAACCAGTTTGTAAATGAATTATAATAAATGATAAATTTCTGTAACAAGCAAGCAATTTTGCACCAGTTAATAATTTTATAAACAGAAATCAATTGCTAATAGAACCATATACTTATTTTTTTAATTAGATGCCAAAGTTTGGCGGATTTTGTATTGTAGAGGGGTTAGTCAATCTTGCCAAGTAATGTGGCAGAAAATATATGTCTTCCTGGGATACAAGGCTGCTATAATTTCAAATAGCAATACCTCAACTTATTTGATCATCAAAAAGTTAGAACATCCATTAAATAGAAGAAAACAAATACTCATGGATCCATGAATCTGACAAGGTGTAACATCGCTGGTGTACAGTGCTTGTCCACAGTTCTATCAAAAATTATATGTAAAAATGGAAAAATCAGGCACCTTAGTTACAAATGATTTATAGAGTTAAGTCTGTTGAGAAAGGAGGATAAACTAGTTTCTCGGATCATTCTGACTGTCTGTAAGTGAAATCCTCTAAGCCAAGCCAAGCATCCTACTACTGTGGAAAAATGACTATCCCAGTGCTGCCTAAAGGACAAAAACTAAGGGAATAATTCACAGAAGTTCTGTGAATTAGTGGCAGCCCACCAACTCCTCCCATCTCGTACACTGAACCTCTGGTAACACAGTAACAATGGAAAATGAAGACAATAAATTCAAAGGGATAAAATCCTATCTCCTTTGAAGTCAAAGCAAAAATTTCACCACTTTCCCTGGAATCAGAATTTCAAGCTGTACTGTTTTAACTTTCAGGTATTCACACTGAGAAAGTAGTTGCTTACCACCATTCTGCCCTTCTATTTGTCGTCTGCTCTTAAAAAATACTTCATATTACAGGATTTTAAGAACAATATTTAACAAATAGCTTGATATCTTCTCATGTATTCCAGAACCCAGTATAATAACAATAACAGTAACAATAACAATAATTTAATTGCACATTTCCATGAGCATTATTGAACTGGCCCCAGACATCCTTCCTTTTCCTTCCTTTCTCATCCTGTAATCTTACTCTGCTCATCTTATATCAGCTTCTTTTATTTTGCTCAGTCTGGCCACAGTTGATGAGAAAACTATCTTCTCTTTCTCCTTCCCCTGCCTAAGGAGGAAAGACCCTCAAGGACTTGGTTGAAATTGACTGTGTTAACCAACATATAGCAACAAACAGTATTTATTGTTTCAATCAGGCAGTTAACTTTGGCAAAAGAAGTGTTTTTGTCCAGGATACCCCACACTTAGACCATGAAAAGTCTCTAAGGAAGGGATGCAATTCAATAAACTTTTGAATACCTGGAGGAGATGACCTCTGGAACCCTCATCGCCTACAAGTATTACAGTTTTAACATAAGCCATGCTGTATAGCTTGTTCCTAAACACATACCACGTTGTGGTTTTCCTGCACATATAACCATGAAAGGTCAAAAAATATGTTTTTCAGTGCTTGCAGGCTTCCCAAGGGACAACCTGTTAAAATCCAAGGGAAGCTGTCATCATAGATGACAGAATCCCACAAGACAAGAGTGGGGATTAGCCTGACAAAACATCTGCCTATTTCAACACACAGTGTTGAGTGAAACAAAGCTCCACCTGACACTGATCCAGGCAGCTTCATGTCTGCACTGCACCACCAGCTCCCTCGTGACAGCCGCGAGTGCTCGCAGAGCATGTCGACTTTTCCCCGACACCGCTGAGAGGGCAACGCTCAGCCTAAGTGTAGTTCCTTGACAGCTCTGCCTTAGGACTTCACACCAGAAGCACTTACAGGGCTAGAAATGCTTTGCACTCCCTCACCAGAAATGGGTAAAGACTTTTTTCCCCCCAAGAAGATGATTCTACTTACTTGGGATAGCGCCTCTGCTGAAAGATGGGCAGAATCTCTTTATCTTGACTTGAATGTAGAAGCAGTAAATCCCGAAATCTTTCTGTCAAGAGACAAAAAAGAAAAAAAAAAAAAAGCCAGACTGTTACTCTGCAAGAATAAGCAAAAAGCAAGCAATAATGCCAGTGAATTCTCTTCTCCAGGACCATTTACCAAAGCACAAGGCAAAGTTTATAAGGAAGCATATCCATACATTGATACACAGAAAACTGCTGCTAATATTGGAAATGACTCTATCCTGTAAATCCTTTTAATATTTTTTAAAATGTCATTTCTCACCTATTATTACATTCTAGTAGTGCTTGCAAATTTACGATGTCTGCATCCAAGTGTTCTGGGTACCATCAGCACACTCTGACTTGAAATAGTCCCTGTCTTAGGGAGTTAAGAATCTTCCCCTAAATTGGGAAGGGGTCTGAATGTAGGTAACAAGAATAAATGTAATACTATTAAGATGAAGATGAAACTCACTGGGCAGGGGATCAGCATCTTGCAAGAAAGGTCCTGTGTATTGTCTTGACAAAAAGCTTGCTGTTATAGCTACTTTTTGACCTCTTCCCAAAGTTTTAGGAGCATATAGAAATTTGATTTTTTCCCAGTCATTCAGTATTTGGCAATAAGACATGTCCTGTCACCCTTCAAGATGATACACTATGACTTTCACAAGCAGCAGGATGAGAAGTGAAAGTCTTTAGGAAGATTTAGTTAATGCAAAATATCTCACTGTATATGTATGTATCAGAGCAAGCACATTAACTTCCACCCCTACCTCTGGAATCTTAATGGATTCGTCATGTTTCCCAGTAAAACTCAAGTTACTGGTGCCATTCTAGAAACTCTTTAAAAATAGGCGTCTTATGAATGATGACAGTCTTTGTGAGAGCCTGGTGGAAGAGTAAGAGGAAATTCTCCATGGCAAACTCTGAACAATGCTACTCTCCTCCATGCTTGTGATTGTTGACTTCCAGTAAGTAGGATCCAAATCCTAAGTAAGGATTTATTCCATGTCTTCTGAGTTGTCTGACCTATTTTTTTCAGAGCATATAACCAGGAATGACAGCAGTGGAAAGCATTGGGAAAGCACAACATCATGCCATCTTTGAGTGAAATTGGTTTGCCAGACCTTGCAAAGGGCCTGCAGCTCTCTGGGGCAGACAAGATGCTGTGAACGCATCATCCCACTCTGTTGCTCCACACCCAGGCAGGGAGCCATATTCTATCTTCAGCCTCTATTCCCTGACTCTTTTTGCAGCAACCCAGACCCCCTGGATGCATTCCAGGACTCAACTCAACAAGCTGTGATCTTGAAAACATTTTGAATTGTATTATAACAGAGTTGGCTAGTACTGCAGTGAAAGCGGCCAAGTTATGGCATCTAAAACTGGCCTAAACAGCTTCCCTACTGGATCTTGTTTTAGTTTAAGTCTACTTCTTTTTTCTTTTCTCCCCTTCATTCTATGGCAGATTTCCCAGGCAGATGTATTTGCTTTGTATTTTCCTTTCACCATATGACTTTACTCATTTTTCCATAGCAACACTTATGCTAATGGTAGCGTTCTGCCTCATCTCACATACATCCTACAACTTCCTCAAGCATGTGTAGTCTCCTATAAAGCTTCTAAGAGAAATGGTACACTGAACAGAAGCCTCTAGGACTCACTTCTCCTACAGGACCATTATGTGTGCACTCCACCTTCTAGGTCCACGATATTCTCATATTACATGTATCTGTGCACATAGGGAAAGTCAAACTGGTACAAAAGACCCTATCACATTTAAGGACTATCTGAGGAGGTACTGTAGGAGGTGACAATGAAAGTGGTAAGAGCTTTGGCAGTTATTGACAAAATGTATGTACTTTTGGTGCTTCTACACAACTGACTATGGATTCAATTTCCATTTGCAAGAAGAATGAAAATGACACCTTCCAAGTGGAAATGATTTTTCAGAAAATTGAAGGTGATTTTTTCTTCTAATCCCCACTACAACAGAAAAAAAAGATTTGAGCCTCTAATGAAAATTAAAAGAGCATTTTTATATTCTTTTCTTTGATTCTTTCTGATTCTTTTGATGACAGAAATTGAATAATAGAACTAAACCAAGTCACAAACAATCTTATCATCAGTTCATTTTAAAGGATATTTCCTGTTGTTATTTGTCCTTTCCATAATTTGGGATGTTGGAACACCCAAAACTGAATAGCTTTTCATCATTTCCCACAGCTTCAAGTCCGAAGTGTGATGCTTTCTGGTTTGGTGTGCTGACAAAACATAAACATTTCCTTACCCAAGTCTTAAAAGTCTTACTTCTGAAAGCCTGCAACCCTCTTCTCCAATTGTCATTCTATTAAAGCAGTTTGCAATAGTCTATGTATACGCCTGTGCTGGCTAGTTTCAGAATGACTTTTTAAATTGTTTTGAAATTGTTTTGTTACACAAATGATGTGTCGGCATTCTGAGTGTGAAACTATAGAAATGGTTTCACTTAGTCTCCCAAGATGAAGTTCTCACAAACATTAAGAATACTCCAGTATTAAGCTTAGCTCAAGCTTATCTTTCCAACATGCTGAGAGTCTGCGTTCCCTCCTGATTTTCATCCTGAGTCACCAGTTCCTTCTAAATTCTTATTCATAAGTGCTCAGTTAAACTTATACAATCTCACTGGGGTCATATATATGTAGCCAAACATGTGGCATCATTACCTCTGATTTCTAGGGGCTGGATTTAATAACACAGTCCTATGCCCTGTCTTCCTAAATCATGAACACTGTGGATTATAACAGTAAAGAAAAAGTTTGTCATGGAATGCATTAGAGATTAATTCTCTCCTCTCACATAAATATCTCTTCTCTCTCACACACATACAGTTCTTCTCCCCTCTTTTTTTCCCCTTCCGTTCTCTCTCCCCTCTCCCAGTCAAAGAATTCACAAGTCAGTTATTGGGATCTCAGCATAAACACCTACTAACATCTTTATAATACATGTCCTGACATATCACTTGTCAACTTACAAGGACAGAAGGATAAATTTCAAGTGATATTTTCCCTCTGAAATATTTAGATTCATGTTAATGCTATTCTAAAATAAGAACGGGTGATGTGCTCAATATGGAAAGAAATGCCAGAATAATGTGAGTAATAATCACCGCCGTCTGAATTTCATTCAAACTGCTTACCAAGTCAAGTTAATTTTTTGCCAGAATAGACTATTAGAGAGGTGGAAAGAGGGATGAAGGGAAATGTTATAATATTTTAACAGCTAAAAAAAACTCCAAGTAATTTGTATAGAATATCCCTGGGAGTTAAATCACATTATTATCCACATTCTGTAGATAGGAATACTATGGCACAGAGAACAGTTGCCTTGTTCTTGGGAGGTGTCATGCTCCAAAAGCTCTTACTGATTTAACACTTCCAAGATGATGCCAAAACTTGATTGCCAAATGTCACGCACTGCAATTGTGTCAGAGTCTTTAAAAGCCAGGTTTTATGGTTCTTGTTTCCCTGCACTTTCTCATTATACAAGACTTTACAGGAAATAATAGCAAAAGCACTCTAGTGAGTTTCAAGAACTTTCAACAAACAGATTTCCAAATTTTTAATAGTCTGATGGGTCCATACTCATCAGGCCAGAAGAGCATATAATTGAAGGCTGAGATGTTGCTGTGTGGTTTACCCCAACAACTTATACCCATCAACTTCAGATCATGCCGAACACACTGAAGAGCATGCAATGAAAATGCAACTGAGAATCCTGTAAAACAGACTGAATGGCATAAGGACTTTTTATGTCAGTTGTATGCATTATTTTTTAAAACATAGTTAGTAATAATGAACAGAAATGTGATTAGAAAGCAACCAGGGAATGGGAGAACGAAACAGCCCCATGAGTTATCAAGTACATGACATAGCGGTCCAGAAGCTCGCTGTCTGCCCACAGTGGCATCCTCATGCCTTGGAATATTTTGTAACCAGGTTTCTATAGCCATCTCTAGCACTTCTGCCTTCATTAGAGACACAAATCTCAGCTTCAGCTTTCACTAAACTGGTATTTGCAAGCCCTACAATTTTGAAGTGAAAACATAACTTCATGCAAAATGCAGATTGGTCTGAGGCATGTCACAAGTCATTAATAGCTCCTCCAGACTCTGTATTAAATATATATTTAAGTTTGCTTCTTTACAACTGCCATCTAAATTAAAATGAATTGCAGACCTGTTAATCTTCCTTGTTTTCAAGCCCTGTATATTTGGAAATACTATTATAAGTAAAGCCTCAGTGCCCTCTAAAAAAAAAAAAAAGTATTTAGGAAAATTCCTTTGAAAATTAATGACTGTAAAACTACCATGAGCAAAAAGAAGGCATAAAATGGAAATGGCTGATGTTTCATTTCAACCTGTGGATTATTAATTGCTGAAGATTTGGAATGCAGGAAGTCCAAAAAATTCCTCTCCTTTTGAAGAAAGTCCATGCTGCAAATATCCTCCATTAGTTTAAAAGGGGGTGAAACAAAATAATGATGAGGTAATGTTGATGAGCTAAAGGTTTCAAAATGATTACATTATAAATCTTGGAATCCTGCTAGAACATATGCATTTTGCTAATACAAAAAGACAGACTGTTGGACCAAACTGAACTTCTGTGATTTTCCCTCCATTAAACCCTTTGGAGCTTAACTTTTTTTTTTTTCCACCACCATTTCCTTTTCTCTTGATTAGTCATTTGAAAGACTAATTAGAGTCCACCATTTACAGAACTACCCAAAAAATTAAATGCTAGTGAAAAGCCAGAAAGTTGAAAATAATAAAATAAAATTTTCAGAGCTGTTAGGTAATGCTGATTTTTATTAAGAGAAAGAAAAATATTTCACAGAAAGGAAGGTTTTAAAAAAAATAAAAATAAAAAGGTGAATAAAGTGTGAACATGCCTCTATGCAACACTATCGTTAGTAAGATTTTAGTTTAATTTAGCAGTGAGAAAAATAAGGAAACCAACTAATTATTACACAGGTCGTCAGCGAACCTTCCAGCCCCTCTGGCCCTTTA